GTGAATGCACATTAGACGTGCATTACGGTAGCAGCAGTTAGTACGCAATTGCACGGCGTGATTGGTGGTATTTATATATAACATCATATTCAGCGAATCTGCCCTTCTAGAAAAAAGTCGATAAAAAAGCGGCCTGATTTTGGCAGACTGGGGTAGGAATAGTTCGATAGTGCCGAAAACTAGAACACAAACTAGAAAACTACTAAGAAACTGAAAAAGAAAAAAAAACACTAGAAAACAAACGACTAGAAAAAACTAACTCACCAGGAGAGCTAGAAGCCAGAACGTAGGAAATAGCTTTTGAATATTAGTTGTTCGCGGTCGTTCAAATGCGCTCATACAATGGTATTGGAGCGAGCTATTTCACGACCCGGAGCCAGTTTCAAGCCAAACACTCGAAAAGTACCCCTCACTTGAACACCCATAACTTTGAGAGTAGAGCTTTTGGAGAGGGGAAAGCAGGAATGTGGAGCACTAGGTTGGCACTTGTTACCTGAGTTTGAGCGATTTTAAAAAAATTCCTTTTCAAGAAATTTTCTCCGTTGTGATCCTGTCGTGATCATGGGGGGGAGGGGGTGGGGGGGGGGTCATTTACAAGTCCTTACGCTTTGAACAGCCATGGCAAGCTTCATACAGGCCTTTCGTAAAAAGAAAAACAGTGCCAGAATTTCGAAGCTTTCTACTTTCCAGCAAAACTTTCATTTTATCCCTAGGCCTGCTATTCGAAAAAATCCCCCGTTGTGATCACAACGCGACCGCTGCCGGACGACACGAAAAACCAACCCCTCCGACGCCATAAAACCTCCAGTTGGCTTGAAGACTTTGGTATGCTTAAACGCATGTTTTCGCCAAGGATATCAGGAAATAGTTCATTGGGCGCCAATTGGCATCACCTCTGCAATGCGCCATGCATAGCGCTTTCACGCAGAGTATGGGGAAGGTGCAACTTCTATTAGGTTGATGCATATGTTTTAAGCTCGATTTTTTTCTGAATATCTTTGACGCAAGCCACAGCTGAAGATTAGAGGTTGTGCCAAACACTCATCGTCTACTACTCCAAGGCGCAGCTGCTAAGGCAGTCGATTCCATTGCTTCTGCAACGACGGGGCTCGGACCTTGAAGGAGTCGTCGAGTGCCTTCCTGACATGATCCTTCCAGCCAGTAGGCAGATCAGCCTCCTGCAGCGCTCTTTGGACTGAAAAAAGATCAGAGCTGTAGAGGGGGGGGGGGGGGGGGAGGGTGGGCGACCATCAGCCATCCGTACTTCTCCAGCTCGGCCTGGGTCGCCTTTGCGGTGTGAGGTCGGGCGTTGTCATGGTGGAAGTAGATTTCCGCATTCGATCCACGAGTACGGTCGACGTGATCTTTCAATTTCCGCAGCTGGTCACGTATGTGGAAGACGTCGATCGGCTTCTTTCCCTTCTCTAAGCAGCTGCCCAGTATTTCATGGACTATTCTTTACGCACCAACCAGGACAGGAGGACCTTATTGGGGTAAAGGTCGGCTTCTCGTTGTTGTCCTTTGTCGACCCACTGCCGCTCACAGGGTTACCGTAGGGTACCCACTTCTCATCTCCATGATCATCGAGTTGAGAAAGTGAAGCTTCTTTTGTGAATCGTGGTGCAAATTAGGGTGGCGCAGGTACATTCTATCACAGTGGTAATTGTGTGACATTGTGGCCTGTAAATGCAAGATGGTGAGTGATAGCTAGAGTAATAGGCGCGAGCTTACCACTCGCGAATCCATGTGTGTTGCCTTCAGTACAGTTAACTAGCGAGTCAGATTTATTACAGGCGATCGAGGTGGAATAGGGATTCGATGAGGTCGAAGTAGGTGATGACGGTCGACAGCGTGGCTAGGAAGTCGGCGAGCCCAGAGGCGACACGGGCAGACGCAGTCCTCGGCTGACACTTGGCACATCTCTGCCGTCTACGTTCAGCGCAAACCTCAAGTGTTGTCGATGCATATCGTACTCTGACCTTCTCCTCTCCCTTTCTCCTCTCACGCTGTGCTTCACGCGAACCGTCGGCATCGAAAGAACCCGCAAGTTAGAAAGGTGCGTATAAAAGTAGGAGGCGTTCTCTCTTATGGTGAGCGACTCGTTCGCTTTACAACTCTCTTACATACCCTCCTCTTACACTAGTGTTATCGGTAAGGATCACTGATAAAAGGAGTTATTATTCAACACGTCACGCACACGTGATGACGACATAGTACCAACACATCCATGCAAAACGAAATTGACGAAGGAAGCAAAAGGATCAAACATGGGGTTGAAAACATATGCATCAGCCTAATGGAAGGGCTTCCTCCGTGCGAGTAGATGTGCTTCTGCGATAGAAAGGTCCGGAAGTGTATTTCATCTGTTTACTAATTCATGACGTCGTTGTGAGCGGTCAGAGGTACTGTCTGTCTATTCCGCACTTCTGCGCGCTATCTCCGCACTTCTGGCGCTCTGCGCTAATCTCCCGCACTTCTGCGCTTGCAGGTTGCTTCTACCTTCGTGTGTGTGTGTGTATGTGTGTGTGTGTGTGTGTGTGTGTGTGTGTGTGTGTGTGTGTGTGTGTGTGTGTCTTGCAGTGGTTCAACACTTAGATTAAGTAAGTCTTTCATCATTGAAGCTGAACGACATCTGGGTATCGCTGCACCCTCACTTCAGAAAGGGCCCTGCGCTTACGACCCCCCTCCTTCGAGATCAAATACGACCCCCGTTGTGATCATCACAACGATGGCGTGCCCTGGGCGTAGGGCTGGCAGTGTGACGTGTTGCCCGAGCTTTGGTCTCTTGCCGTGTGTTGAAAGGCGTGACAGCTACAGAGACTACGGAGCTATTACCGCCCTCCAGCTCCAGAACGAGCACGTGTCTCCAGGCTCAGTTGCATGCCGGTATTGTTCTGTTCCGGTATGTTGGGATTCTATTACACTATTATTATCATTTGACCGGGGAACCGGGATCGCCTAGCGAAAATATGTAATGGTAAGGGATAAAAACAATAATAACTGCTGAGATGCCGAATCCAAAACTACCAAATTCTCTTCCAGTGCACAGCCGAAATATAAAAATCGGACATTTTTCTTATCCGGAGAATCGTATGCTGGAATTTACATCCCGATGTTGTCACAATTGCTTGTCCAAGGTATCAACAACGGAACGTTCCCGAACAAGAATTTCCAGGTGAGATATCGCCCACTGTCCATAATAAAACTCTATTCCCACGACTAGAAGTCGTAGATATGATTTTAGGGAGCTGCCATTGGTAATGGTTTCATGAATGTCAAGTATCTGTTGAACTCTTTGGTACTGTGGAGTGCATATCATGGTCGAGTGGCTATCGAGTAAGTTCGAAGTTCTTTGAGTCATCGAACTATGAAGTAAGGTTGCCTGCTACCCCTACTATTTATGAGGTGAGAGGGTCCGGGTTCAGCCCGTGACGGTCAGTCCCTTGCTCCACCCACTAGGAAGCTGCGAAAGCCAGGGCCGCAATCGGTGAAAAAGGCCCAAAGGTTTGGGGGCGAATTCAGCTCTCCGACTCACTCCAGCATTCGCAGCCAAGACTGTAACCCGACTGTTGCCATCAGATGACGTGCCTTTGAAACCCAATGATTCACATGGTTCTAGCGTACGATTACAAATAAGAAAATAGGATGCACCTCATGAGTAGGCGTAAGCTCAAGAGAAGAATTTCCTGATCGCGGAAAATGTTTTTTTCGAATTATCAGCTGACTGGATTACATCAAACTAACTGAGCGGTGGCGTAACCGACACTGATAAAGCAATTCGTCACCCAGTTCATGTCTCGCGTGAGACTATTCTTTTTGTTTTGACAGTAAGCTTATATCCCACGTGTAGCTCCCTTCAAAATCTACACAATCTCTAGAAAGGCAAACCGTATCGACTCAGTGGCGATAATTCGACGTTTCAATTTGTCTTGATCCCCTAATTACTGTACGATTCATGTAAGGACCGTACAGCCCTCAGGATCTCACAGTGTTTTATCGCAAATATGGAGGTATTCAATGGTCCCCTTACAAACAACTGATCAAGACTGCTAAGCTGATATGCACTGATCGTAATCGCCACGTTGCGACCTCCACCACGATCGCCTGCCGACCAGGGAAACGCTCAGATATTCGAAGAGATACTGCTGTAGTAGCAAATGCACTTGAATAGATTTGACCCTATCTACACTTATCTCGGTAGATTGTAGTGGCAAATGGGTCATTACAAAAGGATTCCTGACCGACTCCCTTCCAGGCCTTCGGAGCCGTCTATCACCGAGTTGTCATTTGGTTTGATCTAAAGAGAAGGAATGAGTGGCTTTCGGTTGACTTGCCGTACCGTAGGAAAAGATGAATATGCCGCCGGTGGGCTCATCAGTCCTATTTGGAACCGCCCCCACTGTTTGCGATATTGAAGACTGTGCAAGAATTTTATAATGGTAAAATTAGAGATACTGAGATAGCATCCAACCCTCATAAGACAGTGCCCAGACCGAATCTATTATCCCGAATCGGAGGGGAATGCACTGCGCAGCACAAAGGGGCAGTACATACATGCACACAGATGCAGTAATTTCAATTTAGCGCTCTACTTTCAAGTACGCGTGCTGCTTCCATGGGGGTTCTCGATAAACGAATGATCAGTCGGGGTGGTGTCAGGGAGCGTGGAATGAGCCCACCAGCGGCATTTTGACCATTGCCTATTTCCTTTCTGAAATGATCCCAGTCCCATCACTATGTTCGGTAGAAAAAGCAGCCGTGGTTGATTGGGCTCACTCCGCCCCACCTTCTACCGCCGCGCTTTGCGACCATATCAGCTACATATAAAAGCCGGTAAAACAGTAGGATTGCTTTGTGAGGTTCAATATAAGCGAGCTAGAGCTCATTTGTGGAACTTGTTTCCTGGTTGAAAAGAGACCAATTCTCTCCTTTCATATGACTCAGATTTGGGGGACCAACCTTCTAGCAGAAATTTTTTCTAAAATAATTATTCAAAATGTCAACTCATGAGTGCTTCTCGGCTATCGCACTTTATGACTGTTTTTCGATTGGAGTCAGAGTTTTATCGTAAAACACGAATTAGGCACCATTTTGTCGGCCCCGATGGGTAGACGGCCTGATTGGTCTTGGCGGAAACCGATCTGCGAATTGCTCCTGATTGAAAGGTGATGCAGCGCCACTTAACGACACAACCTCCGTTAAACAGAAGCAGTCATAGAAGAGTGCTTACTTACCCATTCGAACTAATATGTGAGCTGCTTCGACTTTCAGACACTCGTCAACTACATCTCTACTGATGACCAGTGGGGTTACCCATGTTGGAACGAAATCGCTGTCGCTACATATTCGAACAGAAGAGACGTACAGGTAAAATTCCAAGCAAATTACTGTGCAACAGTGAATTACACAGAAGTTAAGGATGCGCTGCACATTCCGGATGCCTGGAGAAATCAGGCGAACGGCAAATATTTGTGGACGGACTGCAAGTATGTTTCATCCTCGTTATTATATCTCCTTAATAAGGTTGTGTGCTTCCTCTCAGCGAACCATTGGCATGCCTTCATCAGTTACTTACATTTGCACCACTTTTTTTCATGGACACAGTCTCGCTGTGAAGCTAGCGCGTTTCGAGGGCTGGGTTTGGCGCGGCGCTAAACAGTTCTTCATCAATCGTTGAAGCAAGCAAGCGACAACAATTGGTGGAAAACGAACAGACGTGGCGTCAAACCCATCTCCTCCCCTGGCATGCCTCAGCATCCGCACTGAACAATACTGTAATCTTGCTTAAGGATGTTACGCAAAGCTGCTTTAGCGATTAACTGGAAGGGCAAGCCCCATTCATCAGTTCTGGAGCTGAATTGTACTTCATTACACATTTATGAGCGGTGCTCACCACTCCAATAGCACACTGAATGTCCACTGACCACTGATTTCTGGTATATTTTCCATGTTTTCTGTGACTAATAGTTTAGTCATCGCTTTATTTTACCCTACATTCTACTCCGACTCCCGCAGTACTGCTCTGGGTGGCAGCCATCTGTGACGATGCTAAAAGGGAATTTCATCTGGTCATACATTTCTATCTTTCCACCTTCCTCCCTTCGAAGGTCAGGAAGAAGTTTAACTTTCCTGAACGCCGAGCCACCAGACCAGATGCATTTTCCCCTCCAAAGCTA